TTTTATGCACTAGAAAACATTGAATCTTATCTGGCCAATAGATTATTGAATTAAGCATGTTTTGACGTTTTGAATAGGTCTCCATTCTCATCTTCAAATTGAAGTGGTCAAAGAAGATGAATTGGTATTATAATAGCTAAAAAAGTCAAGGTATTGAGTTGAGTTCTTATCCAGCCCGTGATTTAATGGATTGATTAATACCAAACTCCCCTTAATCTCGACATTATCTCCTTTATCTTGGAACCCTCTTGTAAGTCCCTAATCTGCCCGTGTATCAGTCAGATCCGTTTAATGGTGTGGAATCCCAATCAAACGGATAATGTCAGATCAAATAGAAGAGAAAGAGAAGAAGAATAATATGAATCTTGAATGTATTGATAATATGAATTAAGTTCCTTACACAAGATTCACCCACACAAACGTTCCTTTCTCTCTGGCCGTAAACTCCTTAGGGTTCATCAATCATTACTCCTCATCTTAACACCTATATTTATACTTGGAGAATATGGGCTTGGATAACATGGGCCGTAAATGGGTTTACGGCCGTAAGGTGTTTACGACCGTAAACTCAACCGTAAACATGACCGTAAACTCCAAAAATATTATAGAAAAATGTAATTGCCTAGAAAAGCAAAGTATAAACCATATTTTTAACCCAACAATCTCCCCCTTGGTTTATAGCTTTCTTTTCTTAAATGACCCAACAAGCTCCCCCTAAAATGTAGCTGGCTCTTCTTGTCAATCTTCAATGGGAGCTTGGCTTCAGCTTTAACCTTCGATTTCAGCTTGAGAATCTTCAGAGAGAACATCAGAGAGAACAAATATTCTGGATCACTTCAGCAGGTTTAAGATAGCAGCAGATTGATTGAGGAGGCTTCAATGCAATCCGTCACATAATCGTCAATTTCAGCTTCACCTTGCTTCTGGGGTTGAAGGATGGAATGTCGAAAGAATAATCTTCATTTCTTGGTCCTTCGAATGTGAATTCTTCGATGCTCACGGACGAAGCGTTGGCTTAGAAATCTTTAACACAAACTCCATGAGTCTTATCTATACCTGAAATCACTTTTCAAGACAAAACAAAACTAAAAGAAAACTTAGCACAAAAACAAAAATATTTTTGGATTATTTTTTTAATTTTCTGATTTTTGTTTGGGTTTTAAAATTTTTAATTCTCCCCTAATATAGAAATTAGAAGAAACTATGAATAAATATAACAAAAATAAAATGATATCTAACTTTAAGAAAGATTTGGGATCAAAGTTTTTAGACAGCCTTTATCTGCTTGTCGGTACCTTCTATCTTCACGTCTTTGTCTGGTCGATTGCCGGTATTATTGTCCACTTAAACACGAAAAATTGTGACTGATTTAAGACATACTATTTGATACAAGACAAGGTGAACTTAAGTTCCTAGATATTATATCTGATACTAATTCCTTAGATACTATATCTTAAGGACCATTCATCTGACGACGACCACGAATATTTTTGTCCACCTAAATTGAGTAGCGAGATCTATAGACAACCTGTATGAGTTTAATTTTAAGTGTACTGGAACGTGTTTCCCGCTTCCTGATATGCCCCAGCCATCAAGAACTTCCAGAGTACTCCTTACACCGGGTGAGCAGACAATCATTCAGAGAGAGAACAAATTCAGATTGCTATTACTTATTGTTTCAGAGGGGTTGAGAAGTAGAAGGTTGCATATGCTGTGTACCAGGCCATTAGAAGTTACGCAAAGGAGACAACATATGGCTAACATATAAGAAGAATTTCATATATATAACATGCAGAGAAATAGAGTTGCATATATTGTGTACCAGGTCGGATTTGAGGTCATGCAAAGGAGACAACATATGACTAACAAATAGAAAGAAAGAAAACAATTTTCTACAAACCTAATTTATCGGAATTTACCAGTTGCCCCATCCAACCAGAATTAAGGACAGAATCCGCACATCGAGGAAAAGTTAAGCCACGGTTCCAAGTACGGGTTCAATTAATGTGACAGGTAGATTCCCATATATATCTCCCTGCTTAACCTATCCAAGCGTCGTATTGTCAGGCTGAACGGATCTAACTAGGTCAAAATTTGTCAAGTCTATAAATTTCCTAAGTTCAACTCTGCCTAGTCAAGTCCATTTAGAATCTTTCGTGCCTACCGACGCATCAAGTCAGAGCATAGAGCCTTCAACTTTGGGTACGTTACGCAGAATCAGATTGCCTGTTATCACTTGATAATATCACTTCCCAAAACAGCTCCCTCAAGCACATATCATAACCAACATATTTTTGATTTTCTGATTTTCTAATGTTTTTGGATTTTTGAAAATTCTTTTAAAATAAAATTTTTCTAATTTTTGTTTTGTTTTTATTTGTCCCCCTAAATTTGTGCATAGGAGAGAAACGAAAATAAATGCGCAAATTTAAACTATCCTAAAAAAAAAATTAGTCTTTAAAACGAATCAGCTTAAGAAAAATTGAGGAGTATAGAGAAGAAAATGCAAACCGTAATTCACCAATTGAATCTGCATTCAGAAGGTATGAGAATAGCAAGCATAATCTCAGAACAGATCCGAAAATTCTTCATATCATTAAGCACTAGCCCCATTTGTGATCTCTTCCTTTCTTCCTTTCCCACAAAGGACACATACTCTCAAATAATGTTCTGAGTGTTGTACAGTTGAGAGATGTCTCCTATCATGTGCCTGGAACAACCACTACCAACAAACTGAAGTCTGATGATATGCCTCCATAGCTGCTCCGACACAGAGCAGGATTAATTGGTCTTTGGAACCCAGTCCATTTTGAAACTGGGTCGACCTTTTTCATCCTTGCAGGGTACTCTCTCCCATGACATATCCTGTTTATCACAAACACAAGGCAATGAAATATTAGAGTCATTAGAAAATTTGGGAGTTTTCACATTTGGTACCCATCTATATTTGGGTTTAACCCATTTCTTGCTCGATCCGATGGGTGCCTCGGTACTTGCTTTGGAACTTGAAGCCGACTGCCGAGATGACTTTGACCTAGCCGATCTTGGTTTTGTTGGGGCATCTCTTGGATTGGACTTCTTGGTCGGCATTCCCTTCTTGCCCTTGGGATTTTGATTCTTGGCCTTGGAAGATTGATTCTTGGCCTTGGAAGATTGATTCTTAGCCTTCTACGCGTTCCAGTCACCATTGTCTGAACGTGACCTTGAGGGGTTTCTGTTGGAGTATCTCCCTCTTGGCTCGTTTTGCCATCCTTGTGCGTAGTAGGGAACTTATGCGCGATTTGGACAGTTCCGGGTAATGTGTCCAGGTGTTCCACAGTGAAAACAAGTCTTTTTCTTCACTATGAAGTTGTTTCTTCCTGCCCCTGGTGGCGTATCCTTGCCTTGACTCTTATTGTTCCCACATACACACTTGCAACAGACACTCTGTTTCACTGGAATTGGTGGCCTGTATTTCTCAACGGCAGGTTGATCAGAAGCAGTTGAGTTCGAAGCAACAAATTCAGAGTTCAAGGAGATGTTAGTTTGTTCAATGGTTTTCTCCTTGTTCTCATCTTCTGCTACTTTTCCTGCACATGAAGTAGAAACATTAGTATTTTCAATATTAATAACTCCTTCTGACACAAATCCAGCTCGTTTTCCATATCGAAGATGTGGCTCCCTGTCAGTTTCGTCCTGTGTCATAGGGATGGATGTGTAGTCATGATTATAAGGAGGAGGTACACTATCATACCCTAGACCATTGTTTTGATTTTCTTTGAATTTTAATTGGGTTTCATATAAGGATTTGACTGCCTGACTTGACGTAGTATAATTTTTGAAACTAACGTCTGTTTTTCCACACTTAATTTTCAATGCGTCAAGTTCTTTAGTTACAGTAAGAAGTTGTCTCTTAATATAGTCATAATTTTCACACTTGTTGCTATACTCTTCCTGAAGCTTCCTAAAGTCTTTGGTTTTTGCTTCTAATTCAGCCTTCAGGGGTTTCTGTCCTTTCCTGAGTTGATATCCTTCATATCTTAGGTCCTCAACTTCTCTTTTAAATAAATCAATTTGTTCCCGAAGAAATTTAATCGTGGCTTCACAAGCTGGAGTACATGTAACTTTAGTGACCGGAAGGTTTTCAGAACTCATTGTTTCTTTACACTTCAAAGCATCAAGTTCTTGAATTACATCAGCAAGACTAAGATGATTGAGATCTTTTGTCTTCTTGATGATGGCCATGTTCATATCCCACGATTTCGGAAGTGAATTCAATAGCTTTTTGTTTATCTCAGATTTGGTCAAAAAGATCCCAACAATATTCATCTCAGTAGTGAGTGTGGTAAATCGCTGCAACTGAGCTTCCAGGGTTTCTCCAGGGATATAATCGAACATGTTGAAATTTTGTCTTAAGATATCCTAACGACTCTCTGTCATATTTTCAACTCTCTCGTAGACCTTAAAATCAATTAAAAACCACAACTAGAAGCTAAGATAAAAATTAAACGTCAAATTTAAAATGCCTTTTTTTCGAAAGTCAAATTTAAAAAATTAAACTCAAAAGTCAAACTTGAAAAGTCAAACCGAAAAGTTAAATTTGAAATTTTAAAAGTTAAACGAAAAAGTCAAAGTTTAAAATCAAAGATCAAACTTGGAAGTCAAAGTCAAAATTTTAAATAAAAAGTCAAAAAATAAAAGTCAAAAATATATTTTTTTAATTATTTATTATTATTTATTTATTTATTTTTTTGTTTATATAACTTTTTTTTTTGAATTTTGGATGAAAAAGGAATTTAAAATTTAAAAGGAATTTTGGGTTAAAAGTGTCAAAATAGGAAAACTTGCTGCGAAAAAGACGAGTTATAGTTCAATTTTCGAAGGAATGTAACAAATGATCAGGTAGCTAAGTTGGATAAGGTGCTGAACTGATGAGCAGGAGGTCGCGGGTTCGAAATCCGGCACCTCCAAAAGCGCTTCTAATTTTTTTCTAAAGTGCGAGGACGAAGGCTGATGCTTAGATGCGAGGCGAGGACGAGGTCTTCACGTGCGAGGATGCTGCTGCGAAGCTGAGGTGCGAGGTTGCTGAGCCGTACACGTGCGCGCTGGCCGCAAACCGAAGACCGTAAACTCCGACCGAAAGCTCCTCGGAAACCCTAGCTGACGGCGCCACCCCCTCGCTGGTTACGTCTAAAAACACCGTTTTTTTGCCTTTTTTGCTCCAAAACTCGATCAAAAACCCGTTTTTACGAAAAACGCGAAGAACAAACCCCCATTATTTTTGCGAGATCTATCCAAAAACGCAAAAATATTTCAAAAATAAGATCAAATAATGCCCAAAATCTGACAAAATTGACTGATACAACTTGGTTCTGATACCAATTGTAAGTCCCTAATCTGCCCGTGTATCAGTCAGATCCGTTTGATGGTGCGGAATCCCAATCAAACGGATGATGTCAGATCAAATAGAAGAGAAAGAGAAGAAGAATAATATGAATCTTGAATGTATTAATAATATGAATTAAGTTCCTTACACAAGATTCACCCACACAAATGTTCCTTTCTCTCTGGCCATAAATTCCTTAGGGTTCATCAATCATTACTCCTCACCCTAACACCTATATTTATACCTGGAGAATATGGGTTTGGATAACATGGGCCGTAAATGGGTTTATGGCCGTAAGGTGTTTACGGCCGTAAACTCAACCGTAAACATGACCGTAAACTCCTAAAATATTACAGAAATATATAATTGCCTAGAAAAGCAAAGTATAAACCATATTTTTGACCCAACACCTATCCTCCTATATTTTACAATCCTCCAATTTCATCAGTCTCCCCTCCACAATTGACCAAAGATGTTCACCATCACAACCACTCACGCCATCTCCAACCTCTGTCAACCACCACCGCTTGAAAACCACTTCACCGAGAAGCACCAACCACCAAACGGTCACCCATATACCCCAAACACCATCGCCAGCCGAGAACAAGCACTGCCACCGTCGAGCTTCCACTGCTATCAACGAAGACAACCACCGGACACCCCTCTCCAATTGTCGACCAACCTCGCACGATCACTTCCGTGAACCCCTACCATTAAATTCTGATTTCATGTTTGACCGGTACACCATCTCTTCTCACCTTTTGTTATTCATATGTTCTCTTCTGATTCACAAAGCCCTAATTGAAACTCTAGCAGTAATTTGAAAATCAAATGATAAATTAGAACACAATTAGACTTATTCATATAGTTGACTTATTCTTGGCTTATGACAAGGGAAAAGTGCATTCATCACACAATATCGAGGGCACAAGGAATGGTAGTTTTAACACGTTTTCATCTGAGGATTCTAAGAATCACATGAATGTTGTTATCGTTACCCCTCCCCCGGTAGGTTTTGTCTTCTTTTCATTTTTTTTCTCCAGATTAATTGACTGTTGTTAAAAAGGGATTCAAACTAGCAAGATAATTTTCATGTTTATTTGTTTTGTCATCTAGGAATGGAATCCCCCCCCCCCCCCCCCCCCTCTCTCTCAATAGATTTATTCTAAATTCTTAAAAGTGTGTCTCATCTTTGAAGAAGAGAAGGCACCATTGATTTATTCTTCTTTTAAGTAAGTTATCCATCCTTGTAACTAAATTCAAATATTTTGAACTTTAATATTGGTTTCCATGGTTTTTAGTTACTTATACAAATGTGGGTAAGGTAAAACCATTCTCATAATCAGAGGTAAAACCATTTCCATTGGCTCATGTTTTTTTTTTTTTTTTTTTTTTTCCATGTTTTCTTTGATTCAAAATTACAAAGGAACGAAAACCAATATTGACGTTCTTGGTACTTGGAAAGAAATGGAACCAGAAATCAATTGGAGATAAAGGGTGAAAAACCTGGATTTTTTTGCATCTTACTTCATCTCATGTTTTATGATTCAAATTTCATCATTCAGAAATATATATGTCACCAAGTTTGGTTTATTTGTGATGGATCGTTCTATATTTGTCACCAGGCATTGTTGAAGATAAAATAAAGCTTTGAATTTGAGGGTTATTCCTTGCATTCAGGTACTTTTAGTTCACATGCTTTTTGTGTACGTTTTCTTTATGATAAAAGAGGAACTTGATATGTGAGTTTAAACTTATCTATCATGGTTTAGGCATAATCGGATTATTAAAAGTCCAAACTAAAGAAAGAAAAATTATTAAATGTCCCAAATAAAAAAAATATATATGTAATATATTTGTTAAGGGAATAATAGTCATATTGTTTGGGTCAGGGATCAATACTTAAAAAAAAAAAAAGTTAAGGATGATGGATCAGAGGTGTATGAGTGGGATTAAGCAAAGTCATGCATTTACTATTTATTTTTCAAAGTGTATACACGTCTTCTTCGTATGGTAGTTTTATATAATTTTTCTCTATCTTGATTGGCAAGGCAAATAACATTGATATTTCCTACAAGTTGTCCTCATAAACATGAGCTAGTCTTTAAAATTTTGAATTTGGTCACATGAATGACGTAAAATTTTGTTGGTTTTACAATTAACACTTGATTTACCTTTTTTTCTTTTTTTTTTTTACCCTTTTGTGTAGGCATGAAGTAGATTTATCTCAGGATGTCAACCAACCACTACCTTATGATGATGATGATGATGATGATGATGATGCATTTGATTGGATGTTTTTTTTTTTTTAAGACTTACATTGTTCCCCTGTTCCTATAGCTAAAAAGGTGAAACTACTTCCGGACAACCACCTGTTTTTTTGTAATACTTGAACCATTGATGGGTTGATTGGAATATATGTGAAGATTGAACAAAAAGGAAATCTTCATCTTCACTTGCATTCAAAATTATCTTAGTATTATAATGGAATAAAGCACGATTGTTATGGCTGGAGCAGAATCCGAACTGATGAAGCTAAAGGTTGGTTAATTGCTGATAAATTGTTTCTACTAAACTTTTGTATGTGTGATTGTGTGTATAATTGGGGTCTACTAATAAATGTTGGGAATTTTTGTTTTGATTTATAACTTTGAAAGTTAATAACTACCGAGAGATAGTTTGAATAAATATTGGGAATTTTCTGCTAAAGTTTTAAATAAATATTTGCTTCATTTTGTGTCTTTTTGTTTAGTTAAATCCAAGAAATAACAGTTTACTTCTGTTGCTACAGCGGTGTGAAGCCAATGGATATCCCATTTAAGATAAATTTGGTAAGTTGTACTCTTAATGCTCATAAATATGTGAAAAGGAAGGAAATAACGAAATGAGATGTGATGGATTTCCAATGTGTTTTTGTTTTATAAATTAGTGTGTTTTTTGTTTAATTGGAGAGAGATTTTTCTGGTTCACAATTTCTCTTTTAGTTTAATCTGATAATTTTTGACATAATATTTTTAAAAAATGAGTAAGGATTGTGTTTATAATTGTTTTCAATGTTTGCTTTGTGTGCACAGGAAGTAAAAGAATGGTGAGGCACTTCTGGAATCGGTAAATAAAGTTAGCGCAAAATCATTTTCCATGTGAGTAATATTTTACCTTTTATGTATATTGATCATGTTTTCTTGACCATTATTAAATATGTATTAATTGTTCATAATGCTAATGCAAGGGTGTGGTTGCACCCTGTGGTGGAAAAACATTTCAATCGAGTTGAGTATTTGTGTGATTAAGTAAGTGAGGGTCATACAATTAATTGATTTCCATAATTCTCATATTGTATCTTGGTTGTAATAAATTTTTAGATCTTTCTTCCATGTTTTTTGACATGTTGTAGAAACTAAAACCACCCACATATTTGCTTGAAGAACTATTGTTTAGACAAAGAAGTTATTATTTGGTATTGGTGTGTTCTATTTTATTTTTGTTTGTATAATATTGTAATAGTGGAATTATATTTAGGATGCATTATGCATTAAAAAAATTAATTACATCACTATAATATGGGTACAACAATAGCTAAAAAAATTTTGTGAAAAAAAAAATATATTCCGTGATTTGCTTATTAATTTTTAAAGTTTCAATTGTTTAAAAGCATATTGTCATGTTATTTGGTTGGTGAAATGATAAGAAAAAAATTTATGCTTTTTTTTTTTTTTTTTTTTTAATTTTTTTAATTTTTTATTATTATTATAAAATACAATCTCTAAATAATTCCCTTTTAGCATTTGTACCATATTTACAATCAATAAAATGGAATTATCATTACTTTAATTTTAATGGTTTGTATCTCTCCATAAACTACATCAATTTTTTTTATATTGGCATAATTTTCTATTAAGTGTGTTTAATAAAATTTTGTTTCCTCATAATTTGGGAAAACTTGATTCATAATAATTATATGTTATTTTCTTAAAGAAATTAAAAAATAAAATGACATATTTTAGTTTAGGGGTGTCTTTTTTAATTCTTATTATTTAAGCGAAATAAAGTTAACCTAAAACATTTATTTTAATTTTAAACCCAAATTAGAAACGTATTCTTATTTTGACCCAAAAAAATAATATATAATTATTTTAACCAAAAAAAGAAACATACTTTATAATCAAAAATAGAAACAAATTTTATTTTTAATCTAGACTAACAAGAAAATATTAATGGAGAATCATTTTTGTTGATGATGGCATGTTCATTAATGTATTCTCGTGTAATTCTATTATTTTTATTTGAACCACTTATAAAATTTATATTTTTTGCTGCTTTAAACAATTTATTTTATTAGTTATTTGATGTATTATGTCAAAAGTAACGCCAAAATTGAATTCTATTGTCTTGATATTTACTTTTTTTTGGAACATAATATTTTTGTAAAAATCTATATTGCTGATATGGTTGGTAACTACAAATAATTATTGTCTAAAATTATACACTCTTATTTATAATTTAATTGTTACAATTATATGAGATGTATATTTTTTTTATAAATATTCTTAAAAATGAAATGTAGGCTTTAATATGTGACATTTAAAATTCCATAAAACTGGAATATGATTGCTAATTTATTAATAGTTAAAATAATTTTATCAAGTTACATAACAAAAAAAAAATTAACCAAAAAAAGTAACATATGTTTTTTAAATGTAACTATAAACCAAAGACAAAATTGCAAAAATGATCCCTGTGTTTGGCAAAATTATGCGACTTTGGTCCAAAACGATACTTTGATGCACCATTGGTTCAAAATTGGATTTTTCCATTGTTTTTGGTCCCTCCCATTAACTTCCGTCCATATACTCCGTTATATGCAACAAAGACGGGGTATTTTCGTCTTTCCACCTCCATATCATCGATTACCGCCATATTGAATGATATACACAGTTAATGACCCTTCACTCTACGCACTAAACCCACTTTGTTGATCGAAAACCCTAATCGTTCATTGAAATCTTGCATTTGATCATCAACCGCAATCGTAAGTTTGAATCCACGAGTATGGTCCAAATATGGGAAATCAGGCCAAGAAATCAGTGTTTTGATGCAATCCGAATTTACGGTAACGTACTCTGTTTCTTACATATTTCTTTGAAACAAAAAAAAAATCTTTTACAATCCATATAAAGTAATGTTTTTTTGGTTTGGTTCATGATTTTTACAGAAGGATATCCCACGATGTTCACTATTGAGCTCCATCATGGAGGGAGGTTCACAAAATTCCCAGGGATAAGCTACATTGAAGGAAAATTAGACCACATTGACTTGGTAGACATGGATGAGTTCTCTGTGCATGAGTTGGACGAGGTGATGCTGAAGCTTGGTTATGATGTACCACCAGTCATTTACTACCACTATCAATTGCCAAATGGAGATTTGGAGTTTGGTCTTAGAGCTCTAGGGAATGATATTGATGTACTTAGTCTTGCACAGTACATTGAACATCATAAGATCATCAAGGTATACACTGAACATAATGAAACTAAGTTACTTACATACTTTATGTCTCCAAGAGTTAAACCTAGGGTCATAATTGAGGAAATAGCAGATGATGTGCCCACTGCAACTGTTGGTGATCAAGATGTCCCAAATCTTGAATTGTGTTTAGTAAGATATGAGACACCCGAATACAATTCAAATAAGAGATTGAGGTTAGTTGATGGGAGTCAATCATGTAGTAAGAAATTGTGTTTCAACTTGGAACACACTGCAACTGTTGGTGATCAAGATGCACATGTTGAAATTGGTAATGAAGGTGCAAATATTAGTGAGCAAGGTGCAACTGTTGGTGGTCAAGATACACATGTTGAAATTGGTAATGAAGGAGCAAATGTTAGTGATCAAGGTGCACCTGTTGGTGATCAAGATACAAAAGTTCATGATCAAGGTGCAAATGTTGGTGACCAAGAAGTAAATACAAGAAGTTTGATACCTTTGATGACCAACCATTTCAATTTGAAGACTTTGATCCTTTCTTTGATCAATATACTTTTAATGATGGTAATGATCAGAGTATGGGTGTTGGTGCAGAACTTGGCATAGGACTAGGGGAAGTTCAATTTGAAAGTGAAGGAGTTTGTGAAGGACTTGGTGAAGGAGGTAGTGAAGGGGGTAGTGAAGGGAGTGAGGAAGACAGTGACTTTCTTGAAGATGAAGAAAACTATGTAAGTGATATTGAGGTGGACATGAGTGATTTATATGAATGTTGATCTAGATGTTGAATATGTTGATAGAGGAAAAGGTGTTGAGACTGAAAATGAAGTTGTTGATACAGAAGATGTTGAAGATGTTGAAGTAATTGATAATGATGAATGGGACTCATTAGGTGAAGATAGTGATGATGAAAGAAAGCAATATTAAAACAGATGGTGAAGGAGAAGAAGTGCTCTCTTGGTGAAGTCCATACAGTTACTTTTCAAGTGGGTCAAAAGTATAAAAGTAAAAAGGAAATTAAGGACAAAGTCAACAAACTTGCCATTGAGACTAGAAGGAATCTTGGCTTCAAGAAAAACGACAAAACAAGGCTTAGGGTTGTGTGTAAAGGTAATGTAAATGCAAGTGGGGTAGGTAAGGGCAATAAATTAAATTGTTCTTGGTCAATGCAGACTTCACGGTCAAAAGATAGTGATTATTGGTATGTGAAAACTTTACTGGACAAACATACTTGTGTTCAAACTAGAAAACTTAGGGCTTGCACTGCGAAGTATATATCTTCATAAATTTTAGACATGGTCGAGTCTAACCCTACAGTACCCCTTCGAAGCATTCAAGAGCAAGTTCAGAAGAGGCTTCAAGTTGGTGTGTCCATACACAAAGTACAGAGAGCAAAAGCAACAGCTACAAAGCAAGTGAGTGGTGACTACACAAAGCAATACGAGGTGTTAAGAGATTATCTTATGGAACTACAAGCAACTAATGTGGGTACAACTGTGAAGCTTGAGGTTGTTAATGAGCCTAACAGTACTAGAGAAACAAGGCAGTTTAAAAGGGTGTATATTTGCTTAGGGGCATTAAAGAAAGGGTTTAAAGCAGGTTAAGAGATATTCTGGGACTAGATGTGCTTTTATGAAAGGACCCTTTCCAGGACAAGTACTTACAACAGTTGGATTGGATTCAAACAACGGCATATACCCACTTGCATATGGCATTGTTGAGACTGAAAATATGAGTAGCTGGAAATGGTTTCTAGAATGCTTGGGAGATGACTTAGAGTTGTACTCAAATTCTAACTTTACTTTCATGAGTGATAGACAAAAGGTACTATTTTCTTCTTTTTGTATTACTAATAGTTTATTTGTATATGATTGTTGCAATGATTATGTGAAATAATCCTTTACAGGGACTCTTACCTGCTGTTGCACAACTATACCCACAGGTTGAGCATCGATTCTGTCTAAGACATATTTATGAGAACATGAGGATTAAATGGAAAACAAAAGAGTATAAAGATCACTTATGGCAGTGTGCAATAGCAACCACAGTACCAGAATTTGAACACTACATGAATGAACTTAACAAGTTTGATAAGGATGCTTTTGAGTGGTTGAAGAACCCCCCCCCCCCCCCTCACCATTGGGCCAGAAGCCACTTTTCAGGTTATATTCCCTAACTTAGGTGAAGCTTTACTAGTGCTCATTATATATGATTTAGTTCATATAATTTTCTTGTTTAATACAGGCAGAGCAGGATCAGATATATTGCTCAACAATTTATGTGAGGTTTTCAACAGTAAGCTTATTCATGGTAGGAATAAGCCCATCATAAGTTGTCTTGAATACATCAGGCAGTACCTTATGGAGAGGATCTGCAATGTGAAGAAAGTGATGTCAAAGCTCCAGGTCCACTCACTCCAACAACATCAAAGTTACTTGAGAGAAATAGGGAAGCTTCAGTCCAATATAGAGCTAGATGGAATGGGACTGCAAAGTATGAAGTTTATGGTCCTTGGCATGACCAACATGTGGTTGACATGACAAATATGTCATGTACATGTAGAAGGTGGGAATTGAATAGGATTCCATGCAGGCATGCCATAGCTACAATACATGAAATGGCTGATAGTGGAGACAAAGTTGGGGAGCTTTACACTTATGTCAACAAAGTGTATTGGCTTCAAACATGGAATGAAGCTTACTCTTACACTGTGGACCCTATAAAGGGTAGAGCCATGTGGCTAAAAAGTACCTGTCCATTTAAATTAACACCACCACCACATCACAATCAACCTGGGAGACCTAAGACCAAGAGAAAGAGAAGTGTAGATGAAAAATATGATAAACATATGCAAAATCATGGTGCAGGTGAACCTGAAAAACTTACCAGAAAGTTTGTTAGTGTCAGGTGTGGGAAATGCAACAATAGGGGTCATAACTCAAGGACGTGCAAGGGTCAAGGTGGGAATGCAGGAAGCAATGAAGGAGGGAATGCAGGAAGCAGTCAAGGAGGGAATGCATGATGCAGTCAAGGAGGGAATGGAGGTAGCAGTCAATGCAGGAATTAGTGTATTTTGTTTAAAAACTTATCTTTTGGTTTAGCACAACTTTTGTGCATTTGGATGTAATGGTTTAAAACTAGTTTGTTGTAATGGTTTTATTTTGGTCATGAAACTAATGTCAACCTTTTGTCATTGTTGAAGAATGATGTTTATGGTTTATACCAACTGTTGGTTGTCATGTTTATGGAACACATTTATGGTTATAACAACTGTTTTCTGAAACAACAAATAAACATTAACATTAGGTGATAACTGTAATACATTGTCATTATATCCTTGAATAGGGTACAAATTTCTGAAGTTGTCCAAAATAACCCTAAACTGATATTACATTATCAAATACCAAAAACTACCACATTCCCTTGTTACAATTTCATAAGACAAAAAACACCCAAAATTACATGCAACTACAGGGGTTCCTAATTGCTTATTACTAAATGAAAAGCACCCAAACCACCACAAATAGTAACCAACTTGCAAACAAACACATCTTCAATCTTGCCACTTGATAGTTTACATTGTAGATATTCCTCAATAATCCGGGTATTATCAACATAGATCGTGCACACATGGGAGGATCAATCCATCCTAAGAATCGGCATCTGGAACCCTTCACGTAAAAAAATAAACCCTGAACTTGAGGGTGATTTTCCAAAATGAGGGTAAAATAGCAAAATCGAACACTTACCTTTTGAGGGAAGGAAAGAAACCTCCAACTAGGGTTTGCTGATGTCCAGGAGGTGCGAACCACCGCTTCCCTACCACAGAAACACATCACCATTTTAATTTTTGATCTCTAAGAAATTGTGAACACAGAGTAGGAAGAGTATGAAGCTCGTGAAGTTGAAGATGGAAGAGTGATGTAGCTCTGCTTTTATTTTGAATAAGGTTGCAAAAAAGGTCCCTGTAAGTGGAAAGACGAAAATACCCTGGTCTTTATTGCATGTAACGGAGTATATGGATGAAAGTTAATGGGAGGGACCAAAAACAATGGAAAAATCTAATTTTGAACCAGTGGTGCATCAAAGTATCATTTTGGACCAAAGTCGCATAATTTTACCAAACACAGGGACCATTTTTGCAATTTTGTCTAAACCAAACCAAATAAAAAAGCACATTACCATCAACATTATAAAGTTTAGTTTCTGTTAACTTTTAAAAGTAAAAAGACGATGAAGTCAAACCGAACAAAATTGTAAAATTTAAAATTCTACTAAAAAGGAATAACAAGGGTGAGATCCACATGATTATAATACAAAATGGTACTTCTCAACTATTTGCATCCGTCGTTTGGCGTGGGTAAACGACTAGTATGTGTGTGTGTGCGTGCGTCTCTCTCTCTCTCTTTCTCTCTCTCTCTCTCTATAATACAAAATGGTACTTCTCAACTATTTGCACTCATCGCTTGGCGCGTGTAAACGGCTAGTGTGTGTGTGTGCGCGTCTCTCTCTCTCTCTCTCTCTCTATATATATATATATATATATATATATATATATATATATATATATATATATATATATATATATATATATATATATATATATATATATATATATATATATATATATATATATAGAGGGTTAGGATCAAATGTGAATCATAAGTATTGTGTGAATGTATGACCAAATTATGACCATTAGATTAAAAAGAGTGTAGAGTTATGATCTTAGGTACATGTTTTTAACACGGGTTAGCGTTTACTCTATAATTACATGAAAATATTTATAAGGGTATTTATAATATTTTATTATGAGAGAGAAATAAAAATGACCTATATTTTAGGCAACAAAGTTAAATTAATTAATAAAAATCAAAATTGAAAAGTTAACTTTTTTTCTTTTTTTTTTTTCTTTTTTTTTTTTTTAAATTTTACGGTTGTAAATTTATATTTTTATAATTCTCATTCTTAAAGAATAAATTTATACTGGTATAATGCTAATTAATAAGCAAAAAATTAATTAGTTTCTATTTTTAAATATTTTATAAGGTTAAATTTTACACTTTATTCAACAACAATTTAAGAAATTACTGGTATTCAGTAACTTCGTTTCATAACATCCACTCTTATTAAATCCTTTTTTCCACCATCAAAATTACTAAATAATTTCATAAACAAAAATGTTGAGTAGTTGTATATACGTGACAAAAAAATGGCTTATTTGTTTGTATTATTTAAGAATACACTAATTAAGTTATCAATAGTTTTATTATTTAAGAATAAAAAGGTTCAAAACTTGTCTCTAGTTTCTGTTAATAAAGAATTACGTATGCATCTTTGGTTATTAGTGACCATAAACGTAACTGAAAAAAGGTTTTTGATTTATATTTTTTGAGAATACGACGAATGCTTTATAAGTAGTAGTCATATTCTTTAAGAATGGAATAGTTGAAAGTGAGTTTCTAATTTGCATTCTTAAAGAATTACTTATGAATTCTACAAAAAAAAATTAAAGAATTTTAAATGTAGTGACTAAGTATAAATAGTTGAAAATGACAATACAATGATTAGGTTTTTAATTTGAATTCTTTAAGAATGACTAGAATTACATGTAAGTATGTTCTTCAAGAAAAAAAATGGTTAGAATGTGAGTTTTTAATCTCTATTCTTAAAGAATTGAGTTTTAATATGTATTCTTTAAAAATAAAATGGTTATATGTTTGCGCATTGTTTTATCTTCTTTCAACATAGTGTAAACACAATTATTTAGACAAAATCTTGGTTGAGTTTTATTTAGTACATGATTGAAAAAAAAATATACTAAGGAGGACCTGGACAAACTGAAAATCATTACAATAAAAGAAAAAGAGATGGATATGATATTCTGGTTTGCGATTTTAAAAAAGGACGATGATCTCTTGGTAACTGTGATTAAATAAAACATGCAGATGATCTCCCAGTGATGATGCAAAGAATGGTGTTGGATGATGTCAATGTGAAAAGATAGATGAATGCCGACGACGTTAACCAGTGGTGATATAGATATGTTGTTTGTTGATGGCGAGGGTTGTGGCCGGCGGCGATGGTGTATGTTTGGAGAAGATGATGGTTGCTACTTCTTTGAACGTATATGGTAAAATGGATGGCGATAATTAATTACACGAATTTAAATTTATGAATAATTAATTCAATTAATAAAATTTATATGTTATCCTTATTAAACGTAATTATATAGTATATGCAAGTCCATGTAAATAAGATGTACCCTAAGATCACAACATTCCATTCTTTTAATCTAATGGTTAAAATTTGGTCATACATTCACACAATAATTATGGATTATATATGAACCTATCTCTCTCTCTCTCTCTCTCTCTATATATATATATATATATATATATATATATATATATATATATATAATGAGTGAATCATTCTCAGCTAATCATTTAATATAAGCATAAGAAGACACGATAACAAACTTGTAGATATGATAATAACTGTAGACAATTAGATAATACATGAAATCCATTCCTAATCGATCGTTCATCATCCAAATTTCTCCTACAACCTTTAAAAATCATCCATATTTCTTTAGTTAAACCATCATCAATGCCATCCAGTTTGTTGGAATATGAACTTCTTAATGATCGTTAGATTCAAGAAGAAAAATAAGGATAAAGAATTAATGAACACAAGAATGGTTAAACTGATGTCGAAGGATTAAATTCAACACCTCAAAAGAGCTCGATTAAGAACTTTAACTTTAGAGATGTTTAGGGTTACAATGCAGCAAAGATAATAAATAACTATCGTATATTCTAAGGCATACACGCATGCACTATATATAATACGTAACCCTAATCTATAATCACGATTGGTGTGACAACCATCAAATTCCTGTCAAGACAAAGTCAACTAAAGTCAACAAGTCAAACCGATCGACTCAACTAACCCTTGTGTACTAGGGCTTACGTTAGGTAATTACTATACAACCCGCTATGCTAAAGAGAAATCATCAATCGAAAAGTCCGTACATCTCGATTCCCATAACCTAAAACTGTGGTAAGTAACGAACCAAACCAATAAAACAATGTTGTATACTTATCGGGAGTGTGTAAGGTCCTTAAACATGGCTTAACGGGGTTTATGGACCTTGCGTTATAGAGCCAAACACTCACAAATGGCACACACTAAACCTCCTCAATCGTTTTCACTCTATCTCTCTTTATCGAGAATCTCTCCCAAATCTCTCCAAGTATGTCAAATCTCTCCCAAATCTCTCCAAGAATGAGGAATCTTTCCCAAATCTCTCTCCATATGAGAAATCTCTCCAAGTATGTCAAATCTCTCCAAGAATGTGAAATCTCTCCTAAATCTCTCTCCATATGAGAAATCTCTCCACGTATGTCAAATCTCTCCCAAATCTCTCTTAAAAGTTCCTTAAACGTTTTATAGTCTTTCGGACCATCCCGACCTTTAACCAGGTCAAAAACGGCTTGAAACGGAGTAAAAACGAGTAAAACAGCTTTATTGAGCCGAAACCCTCTTAGGAACCGAAACCCTCTTAGGAACCGAAATCTCAGCAGCCGAGACTGAGACCTTGGAACCGAGAGACAACCGAGAATCGAGACCGAGCCTCGGTCTTCCTTCCGCCTTCACGCTCTCGGTTCCCCCCTTCCGACCGAGCCTCGCTTCTAAGCACTTCTCGCACTCTCGATTCTTTTCCCCACCCTCTCGGTCCATCCCCTCCACTTTCAGTTCCAAGCATCAGAAGCCGAACCTTCGGGCTAGGCTTTAGATTTTTGACACTTTTCACCCATTTTCAATATTTTTAACATTTTAAGCTCATTTTTCGAGATTTTAACGCGGGATTTTCACTCAAATTCGTATTTTAGCATAATAAACCCTAAATATTCATAATTAAATCATATTTTCATGAAAATCCTTATTTAAATAATAAAATCTAGTGGGTGAACAATTGAGATGAAGTGTTGACTTTGCTTTACCTTATGACACAAA